ATCCAATTGTATTGTTAATATTACAAACACCGCAAGAAAATAATCAAATAGTTCATATAGATATTTTCCATATTAAACAAAGTTCTACATACTTTTGTAACAGTAATAGATAAACTCACTTAATTTGCAACAGCATATAGTATCAAAGATAGAAATCGGAGGACAAAATTACAAATAATAGTTGAACAATGCACTTACAGGAAATGCAGACATAGAAAGACTACATTCTTGATTGAAGTTATTAGTAGCATAGATGAAGATATTTCAATAGAAACAAAAATTTAGATTGCAATAGGCACATATAATAAAAGATATCATACTACAATTCAAGCCACGAAAGAACGAAAAAAATTAAAAGAAACAATATGCAATAACAAAACAAAGATTATAACCAAGTTCAATAAAAAAAGAAAGATTACGAAGAAAAAAGAAATGAAGGCCTGATAAAGAATTATAAAAGACTCAGACTCAAAGATGAGCCATATTTTCGATATGCTAAGTTAGAACAGATTCATCCTTGAAACATTAAACGACAATTAAAAAGGGAACTAGTATAAGAGCATATATTATAATATTACTAATAATATATATATGTACACACTAAAAACCTTAGTAATTAGTTTCTTTTACACTTACAGAATATATTAATAATCATTTTAATGATATAATCAAGAACTGTAAATGAAACTGAAGTTATCTTGCATATATCAATCAGATCACTAAAATTGACTACCAAATACAAGTAGATAGTAATATAAAAAATGTTGAGGAGCAGAGAGGAATCTTCAATGTCTATGTACAATGTATAAATGGCTTTTTTTAGTAATGGACAGCGAAGATAGGGAAGACATAATAGAACACTTAAATATTATACTTGTAGAGCAAACCAGTCACAATCAAATTACAAATTTGAATAAACAAATTTTTCTATTAACAATCTAGCAGACATAATTTGCAGCACTTTTCTCATAAAAATCGACTGAACAAAGCAAGGAACAAAGTAAGGAAAATCATATTCAATGATTAAATACGAAGCTAAAAATACATTGAAAAAAAATAAGTTACATTCAAGAAAATATGGTATAGCGTCAGCAAAGAACAATATATTATATTTTTACCTGAGTAATTAGGAAAAGATGAAATAATTAATTTTGAAATAGATTTCTATAAAAGAGATAAAATTGTGATGGCAATTAAGTTACCCAAAAATTAGGTAAAAGCAATTGTTAAATTAATTACTCTTATACCAAACTGAAACCATATTCAAATTGATCAAGAAAATATACTTATCACACAAATTAATAATAAAACAAATGAATATAAGGAAAATGTAATTTTAAGAGAACTAACAGTAAGTAAAAGTACATCCAATACAACCAACAATAATTGCAAATTTATATTCAACAACAAACCCAGAAAAAATGAAAAACTTAAATAAAATTATGACCAAAGAGATATTACATTGAATGGAAACTATTTAATACAATTTGTCAATTGCCAAATTGAAATATTAACAAAAAGCTTTTCAAATGAACAAAATTTTATGATAGATTTTTCTATCCAACAAATTTATGGAACCAGTCATACGAAAACACTATAAATAATGACACTTGCACTACAAAACTGTGAACATTTAGAAGTAATAACAGAATTAAAATTTCATAAAAAAATCTGTTATGGCATTTCTGTAATTCTCGCATGGATTTTTATGGCAGCAATCCTTTATTTATACATGAAATTAAAAAATAAAACAAGAAATAACGTTAACTGCGGTTGCACCGAAGCTACAAGCATATTTATAATATATATTGTAGAATACCCTTCACAAATACAAAGGCTCCTTACAAGAACTTGATTCCGATCATTCAATTTGTATGGCAGCTATATGATATAGTAATCTGATCTGAACAATTTCTGCTGAGAATAATTTGTTGCCTCGTGTCTAATTTCGTCTAGATACCACGTCAAATAAAAAAATTTCCATGCAAGCACTTTACTCTTTATAGTCATCTGATCTATACAATTTCATGAGATATTAGATTAATGCCTTAAGTAATAATACATGCCAAATTTCGTGAAGATACCTCGTCAAATAAAAGACTTTTCCATACAAGCACTTGATTCCGATTGTTCAGTTTGTATGACAGCTACATGCTATAGTGGGCCGATATCGGCCGTTCCGACAAATGAGCAGCTACTTGGTGAGAAAAGAACAGGATCGATAGCTTGAAAACTGAGGAACTAGTTCGTATATATACAGACAGACGGACAGACAGATAGACGGAAATGGCTAAATCAACTCAGCGACGTTTCTCTGGGTGTTACCAACTTCGTGGCAAACTTAACGACTTTTGACCGGAAAATGGTTGCATATTGTTATTTTTTAAATTTATGAAAAAGTTGTCCCAAAAATATTGTCAGTTTTTTAAATTCATATCCTTAAAGGAGCGTTTATTATTGGCAAATTTCAGAATAATTAAGATTTATATTAATGCCTCTTTTTGACTTTGGTAAATTAATAATTATTCACCACAGAAAAATGTAAGGTGCAATTAAGCAACCATGTCAAAAACCGGTATCCAGAAAATGCTTATTAAACGAAACTGGATACAAGCTTTATAAATTGTTATAAAAATATTAATTATATTAAAAACAGTAACCTGAAAAAACTCACCTTTGTAAAAATCCGTCCGTATATTTAAAAAATAGTCAAGTATGGCAGTATTACTATTGAACATGGTGTAACAGTGTTGCTTAAGCTAATTTTAATTATATTGATCCTCAGTTACCATTTTTGCCTCAAATGATACAGAAGTATTACACATATCGTTCCTTGGTTCAAACAATGAAATATTTTGTTGTTTTATTGTAAGCCTAAATTTTAGATACGATTCTGGTAAAATTTCATCATCATTATTACCATCATATTCTTTACAATATAGTTTATAAAGTTGATTTAACTTCTGTTTGTAAATAATTTGTTTTACTGTATTGTCTTCGGTAATGGGATTCAAGTTTCGGAATACTGTTTAACCATTCCTTTAAAATATTTGTTTTTATAACTTTTCGACGTTATTATCGGCGGAATAATATCCAGTTGTATGTGTTTTAAAATTTTCGAATTTTCAATTTCTTAGCATTCTTTCATTTATTACAAGAGTGGACATAAACATTTGCCGGCAGACTTGGATACAAGCTGTTTTTGTTTTCAAATTATATCATTTAGATAGCGATCGCCTCGAAAATGTGTTACGGCTTCGTGCTTTTTCTTTTAATGTTACATAAATCTTTTTTTCTTTCCACGATATGTTTCAAAATCCATCAAACATTTCTTGCCGTATATTTTCATCATATTGAGAGCAATGACGCAAAGAGCTCTTTTCACAATATTTAGACTGACATCTTAAGGGGTTACATGGGTTTCTTTGAGTAAAAAACGCCCAGTTTTCAATAATTTAAAAATTTAATAAACATATAAAAAATGAAATATTATTCAAACTTTTTATTATTCCGAAGATACATATTTGATAAAGATTTTGTGAAATTTTCAAAGGAAAATATTCAAAACTCGGTTATTACGACGTCATTTCTGGCAGTCCCTTGGAAAAAAGGTGCTTTTGCGTTGAGAGCAGAACTTTTGATAGGATCATCAAAAGTAAAAAAGAAAAAAATACATGTTTGAACTAAGACCATTAACTAGGTATTGGACTTAAAATAAATAAAGTGAAATTTGTATTTTTGGCAGACGTTTTTCCTAAAAAATAAAATTTTTGGTGAAAATTTCTCGACGTTCTTTGTTTTTTTTTTTTAATAGTTATAATTAAACAAAAAAAAATAAGCTTTCGTGCAAGACTTTGTAAATTATATCTCAAAGCCTTGTTTTTAATTTCAATAAGATCGGTTGAGTAGTTCGTGAGAAATCTTGACAACCGACTTTAAAAACACAGTTTCGAGAAAGACGCGTTTAAAGTTTTTTCAAAGCTATATCTCCAAAACTATTACTGGGATGAACTTGAGATCTTCTAGAGATGTTATAGAATTAAATGAGACAAAAAAACTTTGTTTTTTTGAAACCGTGAAACCCTTGTAACCCCTTAAGCTAAATTTTTGAGTATTTTTTTCACACATAATTCCTTTATTAAGACCTTTATACATTTTGTTATTGTAATTTAAATATGTTTAATTCTCCTCTTTTTCAAACACTGACTTTCTAAAATTTGATTCGCTAATCAATTTTATTAAATGTAATGTAACTAATGTCCAACTGGACTCTCAAATGTCCACTCTACCTAACCGTGAATAATCGAATGCAGTGAGTAAAGCATCTTAGAAACATACAAACGAAAAACTAGCTATTAATACTTAAAAGCAAAAAACCAAAACAAAGCATGTCTTATTAGAAATATAACAAAAGAAAAACAGATAAAGAAGAACACACACAATGTAATGGCATGTCATGTTGTTTATTATTTCTCTAAAGGCGTAAATTACTGTCTTGGTTGGAAAATTTGTTACTCTTGTACTTCGGGCTTTTTGAATTTTATTTATAGCAACGTTATTATTGGTTGTTGGATTATAACATTTTTAAGGAACATGTAAAATATTTGAAATTTAATTAGGGATTTAATTTCAGCGAAGCCGCGGAAAAAGCTTGTAAATTATAAGTTAGGAAAATACCAATATGATTGTAATCCATTCATTGTTTTGTTGATAGTAAATTAATTTATAAGAATCTTTAAGTTTTGCCAAAAGCTAAAAGTATTTCCCCGTTTTGATCCTTGCAAATTGAGAGAGTATAAAATGTTCGGTTACGCTCGTACTTAGCAGTTCCTTTCTTTCTATTATACCTCTAGAGTCTAGACCGGAATACCCCCATAATGTTTCAACTTAATGAAACTTTTTCAGCTTTGTGAAGATTTAAAAAGTTTTTGTACAACAAAAAGACCTACGCAGTTGGTTGTTATTAATACAAGACTACTTAAATAAAACAGATTTATTAATATTATTTAATTATAACATATATTTAAGTATATAAGAAATAAACAGTGCTTAAAAGCAACATTTTTATTTTAATGCGACAGCTTCATATTAGATTTTACATAAACGACAAGAGAATTTTAAGAATAAAGGCGGCACAAATGTTAACCAACATCGTGGTAACACTACGAGAGAACGCGTAAAAATTTAAAATGAATTGAAGAGCGCCCCATAGAGTTGCTGTAATTTGTTAATTAACATTTGTGCTTTCTCTATTTACAAAATTCGCTAACGAGCGATGTACTTCGGCGTCAGCAGCATTCGTAAACAAATTCAAAATAATTTTGAATGAATTTCAATATTTGTTTGATGTTGCTGAGTGCCACACCTATTTGTTTACGCGCAAATTTTAATCCAACCGCATTGTATGCATGTAAATGAAAATCCTAATTTTTCATTTCAAATTGTTTCGTTAAAACATAAATTTTAGAGAGTAAGTAAATCATTTAACAGTAAACAAATTTCAGTTTTGATCACACTTTCTTTGACATGTCGCCACATTTATCGCTGCTAATATCACTTGACTCACATGTACATATTTCTTCTTTTGTTACCTCTTCCATCAAATCATCTTCACCACGTTCTATTACTGTTTCCAGCGGCATTTCTTCTTTGTAACCTGCGTAAGCGGTTGCACGCTGTTTGATGATCTCCTGAATGATGGCGGTGAGTATCTCACGGGAGTCCACGATATGACCAACCTCCTCTGCTACCTCAAGGGTTAACCAAGGTGCGATGGTTTTCATTAGATGTTCCTTCTTTGCTGCGTCCGTTGCTGGTTCAAGGTTGTCCAAAACCTCAGGTAGTAAACCAGCAATATGGCCTTGCAATAATTTTGCAGCAGTTACACTCTTCTGCATTTCTTCATCTAATTCTTTGGCTATTGTATCCTGTTGTAAACGGCGCTCTTTTTCGGCTTGTAACCGTAATTCCTCGGCTTCAAGGCGACGAAGTTCAGCCAATTCAGCTTCTCGTTGGGCAATGAATCTGCAATGATAAGATATTTCATCACATGCATATCTAAAAATGTTATGAGAATAGTTAGCTTTACTCGGCTTGTTTTCGACGAAGTTCAGCAATCTCTTGTTCATGTGCAACCTCCAACATGCTTTGTTCGATACAAGCGTCCACAAGTATATCGATAATTGGTTGAGCCTCAGCATCAAAGTGGAAAAGTTCTCCGTCGGCAATTTCAGTAGCAGCATCAACACCCACTTTGGACGGGATATAAGGTGGTTCAGGTGGTTTTTCGAGGAACAAATCGGTCTGTGTGTCTACGGAGAATTCCGGAGGACGCTGTACCAATTCTTCCAAATATTTTTCAGTTTGAATAACTTCATGCCGCCGACCGTTAACGGGCGGTGGAGTTCCAAGTATATTACGTTGATTTCGGCATACCTTCTGTTTCCTTATGGCATGGCGCCGACGAATCTCAGCCGCTTTATCGAAAGGATCTGAGTTTTCCTTTAAAATATAAATTTTATTATTTTAATAGGGTCTTTTTTTAATTTCTGGTATTCCAAAAATTATAGTACAAAATTAAAATTTTTAATTATTGATTAAAACATTTTGACAACATATTGTAAAACAATTCATCACGGACTATGTGAATTTATTCTTTTTTTTAATTTCTGAGTCTGATTACATTAAAAGTGCCACGTCCGTTGCAAAAATTCAGAACTTTCCATTTTATTTTATGTATATACTATATCATTCTAACGAAATTTTACCTTTCTAGTTTTTTATTTATAACGATATAAACTGCAAACGTTGTTTTGTCATATATGTTGATTTTAGGAAATGTTTTTAAAAACATTATGTGTGGAGACGTAATTATAACCGAAAGAGGAATGAAGAGTTGTAGACAATTAAAGTTCATATACTTTATTTAAGTTAGTAAATTATTCTTTAATAAAGTAACAATTATATATTAAATTACAAATATTGTTAGCAATCTGAACATCAAAATAGTTCATATTAGGTCAAGTAAAAAGTTCGTTCGATTTTTATGCGCCGTTTTGTTCGTAAACTTGTTGCCAACGAAATGCCATCTTCATTATACCCCTCTTGTAGAAGGCTGCGTTCCTATTGGCAAAAAACTCGGAGAGCCAATTTTCACAGGCCTCTCTTGAGGCCAACTTCTCACCATCAAGCGCGTTCGCCATGGACAGGAAAAGATGGTAATCACTTGGTGCTAGGTCCGGATTATAAGGCGGTCCAGTTGTTGGCAGTAAAGGGCCGAATTGAGCTTTTGGCCATAGGGGAGCAGCTCGTAGATGATGATTCCTTGCCAATCCCACCAAACACACAGCAAAACCTTCCTGGCCGTCATTCCGGTCTTGGCCACCGTCTGGGCCACTTCCCCGAGCTTTGACCACGACCGTTTGCGCTCGATGTTGTCATAAGTGACCCATTTTTCATCGCCAGTCACAATCCGCTTCAGAAACGGGTCGATTTTGTGACGGTCTTTTTACACTATTTCCATGATTTTATTGCAATTTTCGACGACAGGCCTCCCGACGCGTGGTGCATCTTTGACCTCAAAATTACCGGAACGGAACCTAGCAAACCACTTTTGTGCTACACGTTCGTTTAGAGTATCGGGCCCATAAACTAAATTAATTTTTTCAGCCGCTTTTTGGCCTTGATCGAAGAAAAATTGTAAAATATAGCGAATTTTCTCTTTGCTGGTGTCCATCTTTGACGAGCGCTCACAACGTACTGAGTCAATCAATCGAAAAACTATCAAAGACAAACTTTTAGCGGTTCAATAATAAAGAATATAAAAAAAACCAAACAAAGTTGTCCGTGGGAAAAGTATGATATATTCAAATCTAAGCCACAAAAATACAACGTTTGGCTTAGATTACAACATGACTTATTGATCGGTATTGCGAATGGTAATGTAAGTGGAAAATGAATCCAATTGGCACATCTGTAAGAATCATCAAGATTGCTGGCAGCAATATATTTTCGCCTCAGAACTTGCCATTCAAACTGGTGGCTCCGATAACAATTTTTCATTCATTTTTAAATCACTAATCTTGTGCCATTGCAAAGCCGGGGTGGGTTCATCTTACGAAGCAAAATAATCGGAAAGCCATTATTTACTTGTAAATGCTGCTCCCGTATGCTTGGTACATCCAATGAATTAAAAAGTGAATTCGATAATTCACAGGTTCGTTGGCATCGCAAACAGAATAGATAATTGATGATGACACCAAGTTCGTCGCAACAAATGTTAAAAAACTGTGTAAAATCACTCTTTCTGTCAGCCACTCAAGATTATTTATATTTTGTGTTCATCGGGAAATATATTGTCGATGAGAGTATTTTGTGAATTGATGATTTTGAAATCCGTCGGTAATTTTATGCATCCAGTATTTTCATGTATAGCAACTTTTCTATTGCCAATATCTAACAGTTGATTTGAGAAAGTTTTTACAGATGGATCTAAAATCATAAGAATTATATCACTGTCAAATTCGCAGGGACATTGCGTCACTGAATGTTATCGTTCATCGTTGCACCTTGTACGATTATTCCACAATAATTGTGCACGGATCGGGAAGCATGTCGTCAGTACTAAATAGTAGACAAATTTGTGTGCCTGTGTAATTTAATGCAGCTGCAACAAGTATCTTCTAGCAACTACAGTGCAAGGCATGCATCTTTATACTTTGGATACTGTTGTCAAATTCTTTCACAGGTGTATGAAATGAATGCTTTTTTGTGAAAATTAAATACTAATTTTGAATAGGTAAGTCAAAAATTTGGTCAAAATATTGACCGTTGATTTTTACACATTTTGTCCACCTTTCTGGCAATTTGTGGATACCATGCCAATGGAAATGTTTGTCTTTTGAAGCAAACCAATCAGATACTCAATTTTCGACTTCTGCGTAAGAACCGAAGTGCTGCTCAGCGTGCATCATCACCATCGATGAAAACAAATAGTAAAGGAAGGTGCGAAGTCTGGTGAATACGGCGGGTGGAGTAGCAGCTCCCAGCCAAGTACTTTGATTATATCCTGAACCGATTTTGCTTTGTGTGCAGGTGCATTGTAGTGTAACAAAATTACTTTGCCGTGTCTTCTGACCCATTCTGGTGGTTTTTCGATCAATGCATGGTTCAAATTGATTATTTGTTGTGTATAGCGATTAGTATTAAGAGTTTCACCAGTTTTTAGAAGCACATGACATGATCCCACCAAACACAGAGCATTACCTTCTTACCGAATCGATATGTTTTTGCAGTCGATGTTGATGGGTGTCCAGGATTAACCCATGATTTTCTCCATTTAAGATTCTAAAATAAAGCCAATTTTCATCGCCAGTGACAATTCGATGCAAAACTGATTTTCTGTTGTGTATTTGAAGCAAACTTTCAAAAGTGTTTTTGTCTTTCATTTAATTCATGTGGCACCCATTTTCAATACTTTACTTTTCAACACAATAAAAGAATATGATTTTGTTTGTTCAATGATTGTAAGGTTATTGAATATTTGGAAAGATGTCATGCCAACCAAACAGAAAAAAAATAAAGGCTCGTTCACAACAAATGTTCCCTACCAATGTATCTTATTAACCAACAACAGTCGCAGATAAAAGCACTCAGTCTGCTTTGAATTGACTGTATATACACGGCCCAATTATTATAGCCCAATTATTATAGCACGACGTTCGTTAAAAATGCGCGTTGGCCGTTTTCGAGATGCAGAACTAAATGGATAACTGCTGTATCCTGTTTATGAATTTGCAAACCGATTCATTGGAGCTGATAAACCGGCCAATTTGGAAATTCATTATTTCATCATTTACATTTATTGGAGGAGCTTTAACAATAGTATTTTCAATTCTAAATTCACTTATTCACATACTTGTAAATATATTTGATGCTCTTCATCGAACTCCAGAACTCAACATTAATGTCTATTGATATTTTTACCACTAAGAAATAATGTTAAATTCACTATATAAATAAAATTAACTTGAGAGTTGCACTGAACAATTAAAATGAGAGCGGGGAAAAAAGCCGGTATCGTTTGGTTTGATCCATACTCCGTAATGTTTGCTGGTTCAGTGTTCAACGGGAGACACCTGATAGAACTATACATGAAAATAGGGGGTTGATCGTATAAGAATGAAAATTTAGAGCTCAATGTAATTCGCAAAGCTGAATCATGTAAAATTATAATAAAATTTTGTCCAAAAAATAAAAAAATTATAATATTTGGGCTGGACCACACTAAACATTTAGGGATATGAAAAATAAATGTTGGCCGATTCTCAGACCTGCCCGATCTGTAAACTGTTGATAAATTAATTTTAACTATGCCGTGTACATTGCGACAGTAAGCTCATTTCTAACAGAAGTCTATCAAGACGAAAAGTTAAAATTAGTTAGTTATCTTCTTGTTTTTATCCATATATCTATTGTATAATATGTGCATTTAAAATTTTTGTGATCGTGATGTGTGTACGGTGATCGTGAAAATTTTAATTTTATTGATATACATGTATAGTATTTTCCCTTAATACGAATTAAATGATGATATCATTTAATTTGACAGAAAAATTGGTGTGACCCCGACGCTTACTTTTAATGTGAACTAAATCAGACCACAACCACACCAAACATTACACCTTTTTAAGTTGCCTACAGTCCAAATAGTGTAAATGTGTGGCAACTGTCAACTGTCATTCAAAAATTTAAATTCGAAATCGGATTATATGTTTTCAGGCCCCAAATCGGAATATGAGGGTCTCCGTGCCCAAGGATATCCTGAGATCGAAAATAATGGTAAATTTGCGAGACAAACGACCATTTTTTGAGTTATGTTAATAAATTTAAGTAAGCATCATTTTTTAATAATGTAAACAGGTGTTAAAAATTGGTTCAGTATTAATGCAGTATCCTCCGCATAAATGACCCCCTTTAATCTGACATTGTGTTAAGCAGCAGCATGATCTTTAAACATATAAGTGAACTGTCTTGTTTTTGTTCCTTACATATTTTCCGTTTAAAGTTAAAAATATTATTTAAATATCATTACTAAAAACCAAATAAATACTTAGTGCACATATGAATTTTTTTTAATTGTTTAGGTTGTCCAATTAAGCGGGATTCCTGTAGTTGAACGAATAGGTTAATTATCGGTCTATGTATGATGCATGAAATACAATGAAGGCGCAGACGATAGGCAGTTATAGTTCAGAAGTTTTTTGAGAAAACTTTAAAACTTATTGATCCAAAAATTTATACACATATTAGGTATCTTTGAGCTATATTTTATAATTTAGTACTAGTAAAAATATTTATTTGGAAAAGAGCTACAGTTGATCTCCGTTTTGCGGTGACCACTATATCTCTGAACTGGATAATCTGAAATTAAAAACCCAAGCAGATTTCGGTGAAGTTTCGTAATGTTAAATCTAGTAATTATTCGAAGGAATAAGCAAATT